TCTTTTTCCCTCAAAGCTGTTCTTTGGTGCTTTGGGAGTTTGGCTGGGGGATGGGTTTTGTTATCATTTTGTTTCTTCAGAGGGAAAATATGAAATGGGAGTGTGGGAAGGGACCTTAAATCATCTAATTCCACCTCCTGCCACAGGCAGGGACACCTTCCACGAGCCCAGCTCACTCCAAGCCCTGTCCAGGTTGCTCCAGCTCCTGGCTCAGGTGAGCCTTGGTGCTGTGGGTCCAGCACAGTGTGGGCTGAGCATGGAACTCATTAATTAAGGAGTGAACTTGGATAAAATACTTATGGCTGTTTAATGCTGAGGGTCAGGACCCGTTCCTGGCTGTGTAAACAAATGCAGAAGCAGCCTCCAGGCATCGTTCCCTGGGGTACCAGGGAGGATTTGGTCTTGTCGAGGTAATCCTCAGTGCCTGGCTGCTGCACTGAGGTGTGCAGTGCTGGCTGTGGCCAGGCTGCTCCAGCTTTGCTGAGGGATGCTGAACTTACCTTAGGAACATTATTTCATGCCTGCTTATTTCACATTAATGAGACTCATCTATTTAAAGCAATGTGTGTGCAAGCTTAGGTCCATCCAGTTTCCCTGGAGTTCTGAATTCCCAGCTAGCTTGACTCACACAGAGTACAATTTCTTGAGATGTTTTTTCACGTTCTTTATCACCCAGGTCAGTTTTGTTACATCTGAATTTAGGCTCTCAGCCATGCAGGACTGGCAGGAGTCATTTGTTACACCAGTGGTTATTTCACTGCTGTTGTGTTTTCATGCTCAAACCCATTTCTGGCTCTGGGCTGTGTCCTGCCCACTGCTGACAGTGAAGCTGTATTGAACATCAGAAATGTGAAAACCTGACTGGGCCAAGCTTTCCCCTGGGGATCAGAATCTTGTGTCGTTTCCTCTGCAGCCCAACAGGTCCAGGTCACTGATTCCCAAACGTGCCTTAGTGCAGGGAGAGCTGAGCTCCCCAAGTCAGCCTGCTCTCAGAAATGGGTCACTGTCTCAGTTGTTGTCTCCTCGTGAGCAGAGGGCTGGGAGGGAGCTCAGACAGAAAAGCTCTGTGTGAAATGTCACATTTGGCAGCCTTGCAGCACCTCTTCAGAAAGTTTCATTTGGATCCTGAAATATTTGTAATATTCTTGCTGGAATATAGGATTTGTTTTGTTTTTTTAAAAAAAAAATTGCAACACACTGACTTTGATGATGAAGCATGAAAATTATTTTTAGCATTTGCTGCTAAGTCATCAGAGATGATAAAGGAGAAAGAACATTTATAGCTCCCTTCTCTTTGGCAACAGCAGAAAAACCCCATCCTCCTGCCTGGCTGAGTAAGGATATTTCCTCAAAGTTGACCCCAAATCCCCCCCATCCCACCCCAGCCATGGCAGGGACACCTTCCCCTGTCCCAGCTGCTCCAGCCCCAATGTCCAGCCTGGCCTTGGGCACTGCCAGGGATCCAGGGGCAGCCCCAGCTGCTCTGGGCACCTGTGCCAGGGCCTGTCCACCCTGCCAGGAACAATTCCTGCCCCAAATCCCATCCAGCCCTGCCCTCTGGCACTGGGAGCCATTCCCTGTGTCCTGTCCCTCCATCCCTTGTACCCAGTCCCTCTCCAGCTCTCCTGGAGCCCCTCCAGGCCCTGGCAGGGGCTCTGAGCTCTCTCTGGAGCTTCTCCTGTCCAGGTGAGCTCCCCCAGGTGTCCCAGCCTGGCTCCAGAGCAGAGGGGCTCCAGTTCCAAACTAAGGCTTTCAAATTCTTGATTTCAATTATATGTAAGTGCTTCTAAAAATTAAAATGCCACTCTAAAACCTTTCTGTTTCATTTTTGACAGCACCTCAATTTTTCATTTTAGTGTTTTGACTAAAATGATTGAGAAATAAATCCATCATCAAAAAATGCTCCAGGCAGCAAAGTTGGCCACAGCAGCTGTGTGAGGTGATGCAGTGCCCATCCCTGGAGGTGTCCCAGGAATTGCTGGAGGTGGCACTCAGGGCTCTGGGCTGGGGACACGGTGGGGATGGGGCAGGGCTGGCACTGATTTTCCAAGCACAACCATTCTGTGATCCTGTGTGTCAGGCGTTGTGCTGCAGCCTGTCAGAGCTGCCTGGAAAGCTCAGTTACTGATCTGCTGCAGTTGTTGGCCTTTTTTTAAAAAGGAGAAGGCAGAAGAGCAGCGGGCTCGGCCTCCATGGCAACGGCAGGGCTGGCAGGCTGCGCTGGGGAAGCTGCTCCCGAGGATGTATTTGTTTGTAAAATCTCTTTGGCTACCAGCCCGCTTGCCAGTGAAGAAAGTTGTGTTTTCCTTGGAGGAGAGGAACGTGTGGCTGTGCAGGGATCCCGCTGGGGCTGCTGGGGACAGGCCTTGCCCTGGAGTAAAGGGCAGGACAGGGCACGCTTGGAGCACTGAAAGGCTCTGTTAGCTCAAAACGCGGTGTTTTGTTTCCAGTCCCTCCGGTTTATCTCCTGCTCTGTTGGAAGGTGCCCAGCCCACGGCAGGGATTGGAAGTGCCCAGGGCCAGGCTGGACACTGGGGCTGGAGCAGCTGGGACAGGGGTCCCTGCCATGGCTGGGGTGGAGAGAGAGCAGCTTCAATTCCTTTTCACACCAAGCTGGGATTTGAAGGATATAACAAATACAAGAGTCAGACTGCTGAAACAAATGGCTGGGTGTGTGATGGAGAGGTCACAGCCTTTCCTGGGCTCCGTGTCCCGCTGCCACAGGTGCTGCTGGTGTGAAATTAGGGGCGGTCTGGTGGATTCTGTCCTTGGGGGGTCGGGGCTGGTGCCCCCCTTCCCTTTGGAGCCAGTGCACGGAGCTGCTGTGAGCAGTAGCTCTGGCAGCAGGAGCACAGCCAGCCCTGCTCTCCTGGGGGTTTGGAGGCTCTTTTAAATTGGGATTCTCTAGTGCTTCAGGCTAATATTGATTTTTTTTTTCTGTTTTATTATTTTTGTATTCAAGTATTCACCTCATGTCTCCTGCGTGACATGAAAATTTCATTCTTCTGCTTTCTTACTCATTCACTCATTGAATCCATTCCAGAACTCTGAACTGCAGCTTGTATTTCTCTTTTTAAAGAATATGCTGTTCATTGGTTCACACCTGAAAACTGCCCCTGATGGTCTCTAATATTTTAGTGGTTTGAACAGATTTATGTCTGCAGAGATGTCAGAATTCTGTATGTATCTCTTCTATATGTATGTCTTCTGTATCTCTTCTGCACCAACTTTTGGCTGCTGCTGGAACACCCTGAATCTCAAAACCTGATGGTCAGAAGCTTTGTAACCTTGAGGACTTTGTTAAATCCACGGAAATTTGTAGGATGTGTTTGGGATTCGGTGGTGCCAGCACAGGAAGGAAAACAAGACAGTCCTTTTATGTAAATGGCATCTGCATTCTTGCTTCTAATTAAAAAATCGAAGGGAAAAGCTTTCTGTAATTAAAGGATGTGTTTGCTGATTTGTCACAGGCTGGATTCTGGATTTCTGGCCCGGATCATTCTGGAAGTGACTTCCATCTTTCCCTGTCCATAGGAACAGGCTGATCATTCCCCTTCCTCCTGTCCTGAACGCCGAGGGCAGGGCAGGGGTGGGCAGGACAGGACAGTGTCCGTGTGTCCGACCCGACTGCCGGGCCTGGAGCTGTGTGTGCGGCACTTCTGGGGCCACCTGCGCACGTGTGGGGCACTGTCACAGCCTGGGGACACACGGGGCACCTCTTGGTGTGGGTCAGCTGCTGCTGCTGAGCTCTTGGAGCTCAGGGCTGGCCCAGGCGCAGCCGCAGGTTGTCCAGTCAGGTCGGGTCTGTGGTTCTGTCCAGTCGGGTCTGTGGTTCTGTCCAGTCGGGTCTGTGGTTCTGTCCAGTCGGGTCTGTGGTTCTGTCCAG